GGTTTCAGCACGGCTAATTCTTTTTAATAAGTGTTACAAACTGAAAGCAAGACAGGTAGGTATTAAAAATATATTGGAACATCTTAAAATTACCAGCCCTGCCAGTGGAAATAAAATGAGGGCAATTAAAGGTAATAAAGGTTATTAAAAGTTAGGGCCTTGGAGGCTAAGAAGTCATGTTAGACTGTCAATTGTTTTTCCATGGTGGGAAATCAGTTAGAAATTAAAAAAAAAAAAAAAGTCTAGTAGTTTAGTGGTGGTCAAAGAAAGAGTCAGTGGGGATGAGGAGGTTTCAGCAACATGCTGGTAGAAAAAGAGAGACTTACATAGTCTGGGAGGGCAGTGAAATGGAAGGCGTGGTAACCTCGCTCACTTAGTTGTCATTTTTGATTTTCAATGACATTTTTTTCATTCTTTCGCCTAGTAAAGATGACAGAAGGTCCTAATTTATTATCTGATGTCTATTCCTGTTCCTAAATTTAAGAGAGTTTAACTGTATACAGTCATATAATCCAAATACAGACACTTTGAAAAAAACTAGAGCACCAGTGTTGCATGCATTCAATTGTACTTGTAAGTGTATCCACAAACCACAGGTATGGGGGCGGGGGGCGAGGAGGCAGGGGAGGATCAGCCGGCTGGGCACAGCCCAGGCAACTGAGGGGGATGGGAGAGGTGGGTTTGCAAGTTCCACAGATTAAAGCAGTAGAACAAAGAGCTAAGTGCTTCCTGAAATGACAGGAGCCATGGATTCTAGAAGAATGCCGAATGACAGTCCTCAGCGTTGCTGGGCTTGGTCCATGGATCCTCTATGCACAAACAGAGCTGGTCAAAATATCTGTGACTTGCCACGAAAGATAGTCGCTACGTCAGATGCCTTTTCCTGGGGAGGTTAGGCTGCATTTTTTGATGACCGGGGAAGTTGCATTGACACTTTTTATTTATAAACATGACCTGGCAGATCATCTGGGCTTGACGGAAGGGAAGAAAAGTGCAGCGTAAATTTCTGTTTCTGTTCGTAAGTCATTCTGTGGCCAGATCGGATTAGACAATGCCACGGGGCCCCCCTGACATTTCCTTTTGCTTCCCCTTTCTGGGTGCACCTCATGTGTTGGGCTGGTGTGCTGAAGGTACTCAGCAAGTATTTGTAAATAAATAAATGAAGAGACTGCATGAAGTAAGTCCTGTGAAGAAAACCGCTCAAATGGCAAAAAGCCCTTGCTTCTACAGCTGATTTGTGCATTGTAAGGAGCAAGGACGGGGTATTAAAAAGCATGGAAAAGACAAAAAAAAAAAAACCAAAAAAACAGAAAACTAGAGAAGACTTTTCATAAGAGGGAAAGGAAGGCATCAAAGGAGAAGGAAATAACACTAGGGGGAAAAAAAAACCCCAAATAAATGATTTAATGCCAAAGCCATCTCCCGGCATTGCAAATGCTGATCAGTAGCAGAATACGGGAATTCGGATTTCAGTTTTCTAGTGGCAAATATCACATCTGTTCATCTGGCCTCATACAAATACTTTCCTACCCTCATGAATAACCTCAAGGAGATTCTTTGATAAGTGCATGGTATTTATTCATTTTTAAGGCAACTATCTCTGGAGGAAGTTTAAAGTCAGAATGTGTATGAAATTTAGCTAAAATTACTCACACAATGAACCATCCAAATAATGTTTAGTCAGTTTCCATAGGTATGCATTCCTTGGACTACATTTACTTAGAAAAACAGATCATGTGCAAAAGACCTTTTAATTAAACTATAAGTGATGATTATTATTATTTACAAAGCAGAAAGAATCATCCTAGTTCGCTTAAAATTGTTAAAAATTAAGATACAATTAGCGTAAAAATATTGATGAGTAACTTCCAGCTTGAGGGGCTCCCTTCACTGTGAGCTAATCTATCTGATGGTTTATAGCATGTTCCTATAAAGAGAACGCAGAAAAAGGAGGAGGAAACTCTGTGTATCCAACTCATCAGCATATAACTCCAGGGTAATCCCACTCTTGGAGAAACATACAGATGAGTCAGCAGAGAGCCACATTCCTTGGTTTTTCAAGGCTAACCTCCTCGCCTGTGCCCATCAACAGAAAGCCAGCAGCTGCATTTTCCGGGTCCATAACACATGTGGATTAGAATGCATCAAGCCTGCCTGGCGGAGAGGCCCAAACCAATCCAGCTGCTCGATCATCTGGTTCTGCTCTCTGCCTGGGCTGTCTTACATATGGCTCTGTCTGAAGAAATGTAAGGACCCTGCATGCAGAAATGTCAGGACTTGGCAGGGTCTGGTGAGGAATTGTTCTTTAGGGTGTTGGCTTCTCTGAAATTACCAGTGATAACTATCAAGTGTATCGATGACAAGACCCCCATACTGAATTGGTTGCTACTCTCAGCGGCAGAAGGAAATTCTCAAGTTGATATTGACATCCCCAGTGCAGAGGTGCACCTACCAAGCCATCCCTGAAACTCTTCTCAGGTCTTTTTTTTTTCCTTTTTTTTCCCCCCCCCATGTTTGCTTTTGTTTTTTAAACACTCTTCAAACAACTTAAATTGCTCAACATTAAGGGAACAAAAGCAAGCCCTGGGGAGCACAGATGTGTTTGGATGCCTTTCAGGCACACACCTCACTCTGCATCAGGACACAGAGAAGAGCAGCCAGGGGCCACAGGCTCCTGTTTGCAGGCAACTTCTGGGCTTTTCCCGTCTAAGGAGAAATGTGTGGCCATGTGTTTCTGCTAAGCTGCAAACACTAGCTGACCTCATTTAAAATACGAGCTCTCATGGAGCTCTCATTGCATAAAGCCCTTCCAAGCATTAGCTATTTTTTGTTGTTGTTGTTTGTTTGCTCAGTTCTTATTTCATAAAAAGTCGCCCATCTTTGTTCTATCCCAGTGACCTGCATCCTTTCCTTCCCCAAAGCACGTGGCTTCTCCTGTGACCCTCTGCCTTAATCACTTTTATTTGTGGGACACCAGGGAGGGGATGGTAATGCTTAGGATAGGGAAGAATATAGCTCTTTAAAAAATTATTCTGATCATGTTTAGATGAAATATGGGGCTTGCCATCAACAAAATTACAAAACAATTCCACTGGGAGTCCAGACCGTTCAGGGTAATTCATCTATGAAAAAGCGAACTTTAATTGTTACTCTTGGCAACAAGCTAAGAGAAGGGTGAAACAGTATACTAAATATTGCCACGTGCAATAGTAAAATGCTCTTTCCTCCTTGCCAGAGCACTGCAGAGCCTCCTTCAGACTCAGGTTTGGATCTGGGGAGTTAGTCTATATGCTCTGTTTCCCCCTCTCCAAAACCAACAGAGGTTTTCAAAAGAGCTACGTTTTTTATTAGAACCATTTGCTCTTTTTAACTTGCCAAAAAGGAATAAGTAAAACTAAGACTTTTATTTGGGCTAAAGTTGATTCCTCAGCTTCATGGAGGTCAATGTGCTTAGTCTGTGAACCTTCTGCTAAAGAGTTCACTGCAGAGCCCTCAACCAGCCAAAGTTATGTTTTGGTCCCTTCCTCCTTCTTCCCAGACCTACCTCTCAGCCTCATGGATTTAGATAGTAAGAGCTGGGAGGGTGCGGAGGCTCGTCAAAAAGAAACATCCTATGGCAAAGCACATCCTGGATTTTCTTCAACTGAAATCTCACATGTTTTTGATGCCACGTGAAGCAATTGCTATTTTGGGATCTAGTATCGTGATTTGGGCTTCAGACAATGTGATCCCAACTCTCTAGATTAAAAGCTCACTGAATACTGCTATATTATATAGTTTAAGAGTAAGGGGAGGTGGCTCCTACTACTCAAAAACAGAGAGATATTCTTTTTCTAAACATGGAGTGACGTCTTCAGTGAAGATGTTAACCAAAGAAATATTTTATAGGACACTGGTTACCTGGTGTATTTGGCTAAGCATGAGACTATAAATGCAAGTAATTTTTTAAAAATTACATTTTACATTTGCAGCATGGATATTTGCATACACTGGGTATAATTCACTGAAGATATATTAAAATCATATTTAAGAAGTTGTATGTAGGTAATATTATTCAGCTTCTAAAATGTTCAAGATGGGGAAGTTAGGGCCCAAAATACTTAAATGACTTGCCCAGAATTATTCGACACGTTACCAAAGATCTGAAGACCAGAACCTCAATTATTGAGCTGATATCCCCTATGGTATGGGACACTAGTTTTCATCCACAGGGATATATAATGATACCAACATTATTTGGGAGTAAATTTAAGTCTGCAGATATGACCGAGAGTAATCTTTGCTATAACATATTAGTGGATTAAAATTTAAGTCACGTGAAACTTTAGGACATCTGCCTTATGCGATTTCTTTTTGTTATAACGTTTATTATGGGTGATGACAAACTGCCCACCATTAGTAAGACAGTTTGAGGGAACTATAATCCTCAGCCACTGGAAAAACAGTCAGCACTTGTGATATGATGTGTGTAATTGTATAAAGACTATATGTTACAAAGTTGCATAAGCACTTTTCATTTGCATAAAGTAATGTCTTAGAGTTAGCTGTTGGTGGAAGTTTAAGAAAGCAAAAACAAAAACAGAGCAAGCATGGCCTAGAAATGAACAGTGAACAAAATATACCAGTCTTTACTGAAACGGAAGTAATCGCTATAGAAGAGAAGGATGTTTCACATACATTGTTACAAACACCACTCAGGTAACCAATGACAGCAACCCCAAACTAACTAGAAGCCCCACAGGTCGACTATACTTGGAAGTTAGTTGTCTTTTAAGAAATTGACCTATGATGTGGGAAGCCAAGGAAATCTGCCTTTTATGTGTTGTCTGAATTAAAAAAAAAAAATCCATCTGCCTTTTAGTTACTCCAAGGGCCAGCTCTCTGTGTGTCAGCACACAATTTCAAGTTTCTCTGGAGGGATTCTACTTCCAGCTCTCCATTTAAAATGGGGGAAAAATAAAAATATTTTGCCTGTGACAGAATATGAAAGAAATTCTCACCCTTAAAACCAGCAGCATTGGTTTTCCAGTCATTAGCGTTCAAATGTCCCGCACGGGAAGTCCTGACAATAACATGCTGCACGTCTCTCCAGGTCAGAAACGGACTGGGGAAAGACAAGGTAAGAATCATTGTACCAAAAAAAAAAAAAAGATGGGGGAAGCAGAGAGTCACAAGCAAATTAAAAAAGCAAAAGCAAAATGGCAAAGTACTAAAAACAAAGGATCAGTGATTTGGGTTTGGGAGGTCAACAGAAGCCAAATGCCGCTGTGGTTCTTTCTCAACGTGGAGAAGTGATGTTAGTCTGAGGGAGGCAGAAAACGTAACCTTGAATTTAGGAAATAATGTGGGATTAGTCGGCTGTCACTCAGTCTTTTAAAAGGGTGAGGATTTTCAGTTTCCTCAACAAAATGGCTCCCAATTCTGGCCTGGTCGTATTTTGTGTAGAAGCTTGCATCATCATCTGAAAATTACTATCAGCTAAAGTCAAAAACCAAAGTCTTCTGGAACATTCCTTGTCCAGCTGTATCGCCAGGCAATTGATTTGTAATTTAACGAAGAACTTAGTATCCTGCATGGATGTATGGGATATAGGAAAAAACCTCAATGGAACCGAGTCCCCAGGTGTCAATGCTCTCAAAGAAAGAGAATTCGGTACAGAGCCCAAAGCTGGACTCCAAGACACAGCTATGGGAGTACCCTTAATCTGTAGTAAGTAGTTATTATATTAAGTTATTGGATAAACTTCTTGTGATTGTTAGCCCAAGAGCACAAAGACATGGAGCAGAAGTCGCTTTCATTGGAGAACCACAATACCACTCCTAAACATACAGAAAGCAAATGCAGGTACAGGTGCAGGGACTCTTGTTCTCTTTCAAAGAGTACGTACACACTGGAAGGCATCTGACTCAAAGCATGCATGAAATTCGCATCATGACACCTCTTTATTTCAGTCCTGAATGTCAGGGTGACAATGTTTTACTTAACTGGGAAATATGGCAGTTATCACGCAGCCTGGATAGTTACTCTGCTTCTCATCCTCCACTTTCATTTTAGAAGGCTGTTTGCCAAGACTGGGTCAGAACACTGAAGGGAGGGGAATGATGATTTGCTATCTTCCTTGAGGTATGACAGAAGCACGTGGTAATTCTATGAGCCCTCATATGCACGCAGAGGACGCTGGCATCTCCCAGGCGGAGGGGAAATCTGGTATCTTAATTACAGCTGATTTTCGATGATGGAGCAGGACAGTGCTTTACTTTCTACTATGTCTTCCCATCACATTTATCACGTTTGTGTTTTTGAGAGTGGGGGCCCAGTGATCAGATTCTGGCCTTTTCATTTCCTACTTATGTGAAACTGAACTCTCAAAGTTTCAGATTCCCCAATTAGCTCGCAGATGCTAATATCTACTTTACTTTATTGTACTGATTGAATGAAAGTGACGGCACATACTTAACCTAGTTCCTGGTGCGAAATAAGCCATCAAGAAGTGGTAGACAGTACAACATTCTGCTAAGTTTTGAGCCACGGTTCCCATGTGGTGGCTTGAACATGAAACAGATGGGGAGAGAAAAGTACGATAGAGTTCTGATACCGTTTTGCTCTGCCCCTAGATTAAAAATAAGAGACACTACCGCCATTTCCAAAGAGGGAGCAAGACTGGATGTAGACTATTTTGTGAGGTTGCTTTCATAACGTAACTTATACAAGGAAATTGAAACCCAACCTTATGAATTTTAAAAATATAAGAACAAGGGAAACAGACTTATTTCTGTTTTGTTTTACACAACACTTGTTAGGAACCAAGTTCAGAACCTGACAATGCACCAAACTCTAGAGAAAGGGAGGGAGGTTGTGGGATGGGGCCCAGGAGGTGGGTAAGTTTTGCTTCTAAAAACCAATAGCATGATTTGGCCCTTTGCTGATTGATACTGAATCCACATAATCATTCAGTAGAGACCATGCACCACGGTTAGAAAAATTAGGAAAAGAGTCAAGGGATAATTCTGAACACTAGGGTCATATTAAGACTTTTTTCCTGATCTGCCAGAGATGTAAAGCTCATCTCCTTTCTCTTTCCCATGGTAGTTATTTGGGAGAGGGGCAAAAATCAACAACAAAAAAGCTGTCTCACAAGACTTTCCAGCCACAGGGCACCTGGGTGGCTCAGTGGGTTAAAGCCTCTGCCTTCGGCTCAGGTCATGATCCCAGGGTCCTGGGATCGAGCCCCATATTGGGCTCTCTGCTCGGCAGGGAGCCTGCTTCCTCCTCTCTCTCTCTCTGCCTGCCTCTCTGCCTACTTGTGATCTCTATCTGACAAATAAATAAATAAAATCTTAAAAAAAAAAAAAAAAAGACTTTCCAGCCACTTATTTATGGTACAGCAGAATCCTCTCAAATGGATAAGCGTATTTTTTATTTTTTGTTTATTCTCATAAGCAAACAGCAAGATACCTAAAAGTACACTTGGATTTGATAAATATGTCTAAACCAACCGAATGAATTTAAAATAACATTTAACACACAGATGAAATGTCCTCATTGTAAGTATTACTCTTTACGGAAAACCACAAAAAAAAAAAAAAAAAAGAGAGAAAAAAAAAAAAAAAAATTCATTCGGTTGGTTTAGACATATTTATCAAATCCAAGTGTACTTTTAGGTATCTTTCTGTTTTTTTATGAAAACACACAAAAAAAAAAAAAAAAAAAGGAAAAAAAAAAAAAAAAAATGAAACAAGTTTCCTATGTTACCTATCAGCAGGGAAAGATTCCTTTGGAAACATCAAGCACAAGGTCTGACCATCAAGAGACCATTTCCCTAGTGACCCTTAGCACGTAAAATATAATGATGATGACGACGATGACAGAACAGGGACCATTTATCTCGAGCCTTAAGCAGTTGTATTCAGGCCGATTCAGGAAGTCAGCCTGAAGAAATTCGAGTTACTTGCTCTCATGCTGGGTTATAAAAACTAGCTCTTCTTGGAGTACTTGTAATTAGAAGGAAGAAATCAACATCCGGAAATGGAAACGGTGTAATTCAGGTAATTTTACTCTGACATTTGATAATGCACAACTTCAGAAATCATTTAATTTCAAAATTTCCTGAATTTCGCCAAAAGCGAGGAAGTTAATACAGGAAACCAAGGAATTTTTGCCTCCATGGTGTTTCTACCCGTGGGAGGGTAACTAATTAGTGGTTCAGGAAATAGCCATAGGTTAATTTGTTGGTATCCTGAGAGGCTTGTATTTAGGGGAAAGTCTGATTTCTATTTTATGACCTATTTGTATTTATGCTTTCAGGGATTCGTAGAAGTGAAGTCAGACTAGGAAACTTCTAGAATGTCATATACTGAGCGAAAGCAAAGAGAAGGCTGTATGCCTTGTGCGGGGAACTTTCCAGGCCACAATGGTGAAGTAAGAACCCCTAAAATGGCCCCCCCTTCTGCCAATTACCCTGGAGGCACACTACCCTGACTTCTGAACACCAAGACCCCTCTCACCACCAAGAACAGGAAATGGAGCGCCAAGAGCTTTGGGGGCAAACGATAATCAAGAGGCCACAAGTATAACCAGGAGGAAAGGAGCAGCTCCTCTCAATTCTGAGCCTGAACCCATTAAAAGCCACAGGATTTAGGCCACATACCCCTCCCCCCCTTGGGCTTCCTCCCTAGAATTATTGACAATTACCTTTAAACCACAATATATACTAGAAGGGTAACGTTTATAAATGCCTGCAAATCTTGGCTAGCTAGCTATGAGCTTTCCAGGCAATAAACAATCCATGATTTTCTGGGGAGGTCTGTAGGTGTAATCTTTTCCTGTTAGGAAGGTTTGCCTCCTTCAGGGGCTTCTAGTTAATAACCAACATTCAATGAGCCCTTGGCCAGGGCCAGGTCGTGCGTGTTGTACACGCATTATTACTGTGTAATCTTAAACATCCTATGAACAGAGATTATATACTTTTGTTCCCATTTCACAGATAGCAAAATGGAAACTCAAGAGTTACACACAGTAACTCAAGAGTACACATGGTAGTTGGTGGTAGGGCTACCATTCAAACCAGCTGCACCTGGTGGGCTGTGGATCCTCTGCTCTCACTTACTATTTAACGCCATTTCCAGATGGAACCCTCCCCCCACTCCCAACGTGGAACGGTGCGTCGGGTGGCTCTTTGACAACCGGATCAGGAAGCCAAGTGCAGCATGTCATGTCCTCGTGGTCACATATTGTCGTAACTGCACTGTCAACTCAGTTGGCGGATTTTTGTTTGCCACCAAATTCAGGAGATCCTCGAGTCTTAATTTGGGTTCCAAAGTCTTAATTAAGGTTCTGAACCTTAACGTTGGCCCATTCTTTCGAAAGTAAATGGAAAGATACCAAACTGGGACATATCAGATTATTCTGATAACAGTATCACATGCTTCTACTGTAAGTTATAACATTGTATCATTTAACATTATGGTTATGAACTTGCCACCTTCCTTGACATGCTCACACTTTGATGTGGTTTATAGGCTGGTTGGGTAATACTTCTCCAGTCGGGGAGCTCATCTGAACCCCATCTCAAACACTTCTAGTTTCCAGCAGCAAAAACAGGAAAATTAATGACACGACTGCTACCTGGTGTTCTATTTTCATTCTGAGCGTATTCAGAAGCATTCATGGCCCTAACAGCACATTCAGAAGAAGGAAGACACATCCCAAGAAAGACACTTTGTCCAGTGCTTCTTGTTGGGCTCCTAAGTTCAACTGCTAGCACTTAAATGAAAACAAAACAAAACAAATTTTCTCCCCATGAGTTTTCTCAGCTAATTCCACACATGTGTGAACTGTTCGAAATAAAATCTATACTTGGAGGTGCTTAAAAAAAAGGACGAATTTTGGAGCCTCCATGACTGACTCACCTGCATTTATTAAAAAGAAACAAGATATAATCTTCCCCCACTCCCCAACCCCCCAGATGGACCTATCATCACAGGCAGTTAAGAGGCAACCGATAAAAAGGACAACACATACACATCTTGGTATAGAAAGAGAATTTGTCAACACGAGCAGCAACAGCAAATCCAGATAATGAAAACTGTTTCCTGAATGGGGCAA